GAGAAGTAATTATATAGAGAATCCGAAATTTCCTACTTTGCTTTAAGTAGACCCTGATATGACTATTCTATATAAGATATGCGTAAAGTCTAAACGAAATTTTACGAATTCGCTTTGTTACAATATTTATCCATTTCTTGGGATTTCTTCGTAAGTGTTTTACGTTACGAAAGTATAAGTAAGGCTTTTGTGTTAAAACTATAGACATTGTTTAATTTTGACTTTTATTGCTTAACAGTATCGATGAAAAAATTCCTTGTTAAGCAAGAAAAAAACAAGTAAGAGGAAGTCAGTTTTTGCGACAATCTAATCTATGGCAAAGTTGAATTTCTGAATAGATTTTATCTGCTGTCATATAATCGGGTTCTTCTTACCCGTTACTAATATAAAATATCTGTTACGTAATATATAATGTCATCATCCGTAACGGCTTCATCTTGAATCATTCTTGTTATGAGTCATTAAATTATACTCCGATATGATTGAAATTTTAGTGTACACCTCAAAAAAAAGTTGTACAAATAAGATACCGCATAAAAACAAGTTTGAGTGTGTTTGTGCACCGCACATGAACTACAAGATACTGCGATTGTAGATATAGTCCTTTCGTTGTCATTAATCACTTTAAATAACTTAATGCACTCACTTCAAACGCCTTGCATTCTGTGGCAACCTCCTTGTTCATTATCCACCCGCGCCGCTTCATATTCTGAGGATTCGTTTTGAAACAAAGTCGGACACAGCTGTTAAATATCCTACACCACTTCGCCTAATATAGTTATTTGTTTGACGACTTTTGAAAATAAGGTGTTAAAAGAAGTTAGGCGAATCGTTAGGTCCCTGTGCGAAATGACCACTACACTGCCATTGGAGAACAATTTTCACATCGAAACATTGGAGACATTAAAGCTTATTTCACCAAGTAATGCAGGCGAGTCAATAGCACCATTTATTACTTTGATTACGAAGGAAATGCCAAGAGCAAATCTACGTTCGTCGATAGACGGTAAGGACAGCAGAAGCAACCTATTTTCATAAGGTCGAAGAGAGGCAATCGGATCCCTACCCAAATTCCTAAGGGCAAACAGGAAGAATTGCTTTCGAACAGTTTCAATTGAATCTACATAGCACAAATATGAAGATCGCACAACAGAGGCATACTCGAGTACAGGTCTAACCAAACACATGTACAGCCTTTTCGTAATGAAAGGATGATCAAGCTCTTTAAGATAACACCGCATAACTCGAGAGCGCAAGATTTAAGTACACAAGATGGAATTCCATCAGGACCAGGCGCACAACTATATTTTAGGGAGCTCAAGCCTTTAAAAACGTCACCTTCAGCAATAACCAAATTAAAAATTGAAACCAGGTTAGTTATAGGATATGGGTAGTTTGCGGATAAATCGGAATTAGCAGTCGAAAAGTAGCGTCGGTAGTAGTTAGCAAATAGATTTGAGATTTCGAAATCATCCGAGGAATCAGACCCATTAAAAGAACTGAATTAGACACAAACAATTACTAATGATACTATGCCGCTTGCGCTGTACATTCGCGGTAGAAAAACTTAATGAAACTTCCGTTACGATTCGTAATGATATTCACTACGGTATCATTTAGTTTTCATCATTCGGAAGAAGTGATTAGGAAGATGGAGGTAAATGAAATCAAAACACAATCAGTTTGGTTTGTCTATTTTATAAATATATATTTTTTTTTTTTTTTTTTTTTTTTTGTTTTTTTTTTTTTGCCTTTTATAATTTTTAACAATAAATTTAATAATAAAAATGTTTATAATGACATGTCAGTAATAATAATAAGAGTTCATCGTATATGCGTATGTATTTATAAGATAAGAAATTTAAATGACTTGAATAATTAATAATGTTTATTGATTTGATTTCAGGGTATGAGTGTGAATATATTTAATTGCAATTATTAGATATTGCGCCGAAAATATATATATATATATATTTATATATATATGTACGCATGTGTGAATAATAATAAGTATATATATATATATATGTATATATATATATGTATATATATATATATATATATATAGGTTATAATTATTGTTTAGTTTAAATTAAAATTAAATATTTAACAAAAAATTTTGTTGAATATGTAAATTTAACTTTCGTTTTTTTTTATTTATATATAGGATTTTTTTTTTAGTAGACAAAGTACGCTTTAGTGAAAACTCAAGAAACGAGACGTGAAATGGTGTTTTTGAAACAGCATGACAATTAAAAAAAAAACTAAAGACTATCACAGGTTAATATGTAATTTGATTGCATATTAATTATCAGAAATAATAATAATAATAAAAAAAAAAAAACAAATATTTAACAAATAATAAAATAAACGTCAAAACTTAAAAATAATGCAGCGAGAATTTCCTTTCTTTTTCACTTTTCACATTTTGCGGTTTTTTTTTTTTTTCTTCTTTAGGAAAAGAATGTACATATCTATATATATATGTAAGAAAAATTCAGCTAAATATCTAAGAAATTAATCTACAAAATAAACTTTTACGTTTAATACGAAATTTTCCAAATTTCCTATAAATCAAATTTAACTGACGAGCTTTAACCACATCATGGAAAACGATCCATTTATCAATTTGCTTGGCTTACTGTTCGCCCCCCCTCATTCGTGGTTCCAGTAAAATTTTCATAAATAAATATATGATAAAATGATTTGTCGGCGTAAAATTGAAAAAATTTATGCTTATGCCAAGAAAAAAAAAAAAAAATATTAAGGATAAATTTTTACTAAAATTTAATTATTAGACAATTTAGCTAATTTTAAAGAAACAGTTTTTCCTTCTGCTTTAAGGGAAAATAGAACTGTTCATCACAACGTATGGCTTATGATTTTCATTATTTTATAAAATTATGAAGGGGTAGTGTTTTTATATTTATATTTATATTTATTTTTACATAAGATGGCGATTTTCGAAATTTCGTCATCATTATCCGTTCCCTCTAAATTCGAAAAAAAGTTTTTTTAACAAAGATCTTTTCTGTTAGTTAACATAAACTTTATTCAAAATTATAATAAACAAAAATTGGGTTAAAAAAAAAAAAATGAAGTTCAAAATTCTTAGATATCCATCCTTGCTATATTAAGTTTGTCAAATATCAATTTTTCAGCAATTTCTCATAACATTTTATTTAGACATTTGTTTTTATGTAAGTGAAACTGAAAAAATTTTCCTTATTTTTTAAAATATTTTATCATTGTAAAAAGAAAAGTTATGAAGACTGAATTGCGGTTACGCCCAAGCTTTTTACATCATATAATTCACTGACATTTCTCTATTTCCTGTCGCGTATTTTCTGTAATTTCGTCTCGTTTCTTCTTTAAGAGTGCAATAATAATGATAACATTAGCTGGAATAACATGTGAAAACCATAATAATGACCCCTTAGTCGGATTACATACATATTGTATATAGCTTTATTTTTTCAATATTTTGAAGAGGTTTTTCCCTTTTTTCTTGCGGAATTTGCAAAAATCCGTATATAGGTACAGCTAGTTATACAGCTCAGACGATACACAAGGTTTAATTTTTATAATCATTAACTTCCTTTTGCTTTGTCTATCCATGTAATGTATGTAATTTTGAAAATCTTGAAGATTCAATTATATAAATTACCAGAGTTGCATTTTTCCTTAGTGGATTTCTTTCGAATAAATTATTTCAAATCCAAATTGTTAGCCAAACTATATTGCCAATCAATTAAATCACTGCACATATATTCATTGAAGCACAAAAAAATATTTAAAAAATGTTTCGTGAAATAAGAAATTATTTATATAATATAAACATTATATATTTTTAGCTGCATTATAACATATATCAACTGAGCTTGATTTTCGCAAACAAAAAAAAAAAAAAAGTACTACTTAATTTTTTATTGGAAAGAAGAAATTTAAAGCAACAATTCTTCTTCACTTATGTTAAAAATAAATGGAGGATTCAGCTGAGTTATATATACACACATATACATATGTCAAATATATATATATATTATATTTTTTATATATATATATATATATATATGTCAAACATTAATAATTTTTGTATTATTTTATTTCTTGATCACTAATAAATATATATCTTCCTTTCTTTTTTTTTTTTTTTTTTTTTTTTTTTTTTTTTTTTTTTTTTTTTTT